AGCAGTAGAGAATCAGCTGGATGGAGACTGATAGGGAGGAGGGACTGCTGCTGTGATGAAAGTAAGAGACAAGGCTAGCTTGACATGAGCTAGTGGCAGTGCAAGTGGGGAAATGTCTATGCATTCAAGATAGATTTTGGAGTTTGAATTGACAGGGCTTGCGAATGGACTGGATGTAAGATGTGAGAGAAGGGGAAGACTAGAGTGATCAAGTGGATGGCTTACCAGTTACTGTTTTGTTTTTTAAATATTTATTTGGTTTTGACTCTGCTGGGTCTTTGTTGTTGCCTGGGCTTTTTCTCTAGTTACAGTGTGTGGGCTTCTCGTTGCGGTGGCTTCTCTTGTTGTGAAGTACAGGCTCTAAGGCACATGGGCTTCAGTCGCTGTGGCTCCAAGGCTCTAGAGCATAGCCTCAATAGTTGTGGTGCAGAGGCTTAATTGCTCTGCAGCATGTGGGATCTTCCCAGATCAGGGATCAAACCCGTGTCTCCTGCATTGGCAGGCAGGTTCTTTACTACTGAGTCACCCAGGGAGCCCTGTTTGTTTGTTTTTTCAATGATGCTTTTTCTGTCTTAGAAAAAAAATTTATTTGGCTGTGCCGGGTCTTAGTTGCAACATACAGGATCTTTGTTGCCGCCTGCGGACTCTTTAGTTGGAGCACGTGGGATCTAGTTCCCCAGCTAGGGGTTGCTTTGGGAACGCCAAGCCTTAACCACTGGACCACCAGGCAAGTCCCACCAGTCACTGTTTATGTGCCTTCCCCCATGTCCCTGTGGCACTCAGCATTACCACATAACATATTATCCCAAAACCTAGTGGCCTAAAACAGCACGCACTTATTATTTGACAGTTTATGCGGCTCAGGAATCCAGGTGTGGCTCAGTTGGGTCGATCTGAGTCTCTCACACAGATGCAACTAAGATGGCGGCTGTGGCCATGGTCTCGACTGAAGGACTGACTGGGGAGGTTCCACGTCCAAGCTCACTCTTTGTTGACAGGAGTCAGTCCCTCATTGGCTGTTGGTCGGAGGCCTCCTTCAGCTCCTCGCAGTGTGGGCCTCTCCACAGAGCAGCTCACAACATGATAACTGGCTTTCCTCAGAATGAGCAAGAGAGAGTGAGAAGATACCCCAAACGGAAGTCACTGAGTTTTTGTAACCTAGTCTTGGAAGGGATATCCTATCACCTTTGCCACGTCCTTTTTTTATTTTAAGATTTTTTTTTTTAATGTGTACCATTTTTCAAGTCTTTATTGAATTGGTTATAATATTCCTCCTCTTTTATGTTTTGATTTTGGCCGCAAGGGATGTGGGATCTTAGGTCCCCAATCAGGGATTGAACCTGCACTCCCTACATTGGGAGGCAAAGTCTTAACCACTGGACCACCAAGGAATTCCCGCCTTTGCCACATTCTGTTGGTTAAAAACAAGTCATAGAGCCCCATCCACACTCAAGGAGAAGGAGTCACACAAGAGTGCGGGTTGATGGGAGGCATTTACATACAGATCGCACTGTGTACATCAGTCCAGTGGCTCCGTATCACCAGCACCTGCAACTCGGCCTGGCGGCTCTCTCTGGCTGCAGACGCAGTGCAGACCTACCTGGAAGCAACCAGACATTCCAGAGAATCCATTCCCCTTCGAGCATCCTTCAACCCCAGAACACACCCCGGCTCCCTCAACCCTCAATGAGATGACTCTGAGGTGCAGGCGCCTCTGAGGAGGGGAGGGAGAATTAAGGTCTCCGGGGAGGGGGGAGAATTAAGTCCTAGGTGTTCCAGTATAACCTGCTCATGAATATGCTCTTTTTAAAAATTTATTTATTTTTAGGGGTGGGATGGGGAGGGAGATGGGAGGGAGCTTCAAAAGGGAGGGGATATATATATACTATGGCTGATTCATGTTGAGGTTTGACAGAAACAGCAAAATTCTGTAAAGCAATTATCCTTCAATAGAAAATAAATTAATTAATTTAAAAAATTTATTTATTTTTGGCTGTGCTGGGTCTTCGTTGCAGCTCACAGGCTCTTCGTTGCTGCTCGAGGGCTTTCTCTAGTTGCAGCCGGCAAGGGTACTCTCCGGTTGCAGTGCGTGGGCTTCTCATTGTGGTGGCTTGTCTCACGGAGTGCAGGCTCTGGGGCACACAGCCTTCAGTAGCTGCTCACGTGGGCTCAGGAGTTGCGGTACACCGTCTTAGTTGCCCCTCAGCATGTGGGGTCTTCCCAGACCAGGAAGGAACCTGGTGTCCACTGCATTACAGGGCAGATTCTTAACCACTGGGCCACCTGGGAAGCCCCACACTCTTAAACAAACAAAAACACATTTATTTATTTAAAATGATTGGGTGGGGTCTTAGTTGCAGCATGCAAGCTTAGTTGCCCTTTGGTAGGTGGGATCTTAATCCCCCAACCAGGGATCAAACCCACATGCCCTGCATTGGAAGGCTGATTCTTAACCACTGGACCACCAGGGAAGTCCCCATCCATCCACTCTTTGCTGGGTGCCCTCCCTCCCCTGTCTCCCCGCCACCTCCCCGCCAGTGCTTCCTGCAGTCGCCTTCCAGGTAAATCACTTGTGCTCAAATCAAGGGGTCTCAGAGCTCATCATGGAGAACACAGCTATGTTTGCTTCCTAGGGCTGCTGTAATAAAGGACCACAAACTTATTGGCTTAAGATAACAGGATTGTATTGTCTTACAGTTCTGGAGGCTAGAAATACGAGTTCAAGGTGTGAGCAGGACTGTTATCCCTCTGAAGGCTCTAGGGGAGAACCCTTCCTTGCCTATCTCCTGGCTTTTGGTGGCTGCCAGCCATCCTTGGCTTTCCTGGGCTTGCAGCTGCATCACCCCAGTCTCTACCTCCATCTCTTTTTTTGTGTGTCTTTGCCTCCTCTTAGAACGATGCCTCATCAGTGGATTTAGAGCCCACCCTAGGTGGCTCAGACAGGAGAGAATCTGCCCGCAATGCAGGAGACCTGGGTTCGATCCCTGGATTGGGAAGATCCCCTGTAGGAGGGAATGGTTACCCACTCCAATATTCTAGCCTGCAGAATTCCATGGACAGAGGAACCTGATGGGCTACAGTCTATGGGGATGAAAAGAGTCAGACACAACAGCGTCTAACATTCACTAGGTCCAATACATACCATCTCAAGATCTTTGGCTAACGACATATGCAAAGACCTTATTTCCAAATAAGGTCACATTCTGAGGTTCCAGCTGAACGTGAATTGGGAGGCATTGTTCAGTCACTAAGTTGTGTCCGACTCTTTGTGACCCCATGGACTGCAGCACATCAGACGTCCCTGTCCTTCACCATCTCCCGGAGTTTGCTCAAACTCATGTCCATTGAGTCGGTGATACCATCGAACCATGGCATCCTCTGTTAGCCCCTTCTCCCCCTGCCCTCAATCTTTCCCAGCATCAGAGCCTTTTCCAATGAGTCAGCTCTTCACATCAGGTGGCCAAAGTATTGGAGCTTCAGCATCAGTCCTTCCAGTGAATATCCAGGGTTGATTTCCTTTAGGATTGACTGGTTTGATCTCCTTGCTGTCCAAGGGACAGTTTTCTCCAGCACCACAATTCAAAAGCATCAATTCTTCAGCACATTATTGGGGGGCATTATTCCACCCATTACATAATGGAGAACAATGGTGCTGCCATTAACTGAGATGGGGAAGATAGGAGAGTGCAGGTTTGGGGCGAGTGGAGGGATCAAGAGTACTGTTTCAGGACTTCGCTAGTGGCCCAGTGGTTAAGAACCCACCTTCAAATGCAGGGGACATGGGTTCGATTACTGGTCTGGGAAGGTTCCACATGCCGTGGAGCAACTAAGCCCATGCCCCACAACTGCTGAGCCCTTGCTCTAGAGCTGGGGAGCCACAACTACTGAAGCCCGTGCACCACAACTAGAGATTAGCCCCCACTTGCTGCAACTAGAGAAGGCCCATGTGCAGCAACAAAGGCCCAGAGTGGCCCAAGACACACAAATAAATAATAATTTTTCTAAAATGAGCTCAGTTTCAGACATGATACCTGGGCATCATCAGACACCCAGGAAGGCAGCTGAAGGTCAGTGGAGAGGCCCAAGCTGGAGGTGTCATTGGAAGATACCATTGTTAGATATAAGCGGCATTTAACTCCTCAAGGCTGGTCAAGATCCCCAGGGAGCTGACTGCAAGTGGACACAGGAAGACAGATGGCAAGCCCCATGGCTCTCTCTCCAACATTAAGGACAAGGGATGAGGAGGAATCGCAGAAGGCAATGAGCAGGGGCAGCCAGGGAAGTGGAAGCAGGACCCGGGGAGCATAGCATCTTGGAGGCTGAGAAAACACCCTTGAATTCAGCAGGATGGAGCCCTTTCCTCAGCTGGGCAGGGACAAAAAGCCAACTGGAGCAGGAAGGAGAGGGGATTAGAGGGGGAGGACCTGGAGCTGGGGAGGAGAGACAGCTCGGAATGGTTTGCTGGGGACAGTGAATGTATTTGGGCTTCCCAGGTGGCATTAGTGTTAAAGCATCCACCTGCCAATGCAGGAGATGTAAGAGATGCAGGGTTGATCCCTGGGTCAGGAAGATCCCTTGGAGGAGGGCATGGCAGCCCGCTCCTGTATTCTTGCCTGCAGAATCCCGTGGACAGAGAAGTGCTTGTTTCTGGTGGCTGCTGTAACAAATAGTCACGATCTGGGAGGCTTAAATGCCACAGAAAACAAAAACAAAGCAAACCCAGGACTTCCTGGTGGCCCAGTGGTTAAGAATCTGCCTTGCAATGCAGGGGATGGATGGGAGTTCAATCCCCAGTTAGGGTACTAAAATCCCACATGCTACGGGGCAACTAAGCCTGCGTGCTGCACCTACTGAAGCCCAAACGCTTTAACTGCTGAGCCCAATGCCACAGTGTGCCCCACAACAAAAGATCCTGCATGACACAGTGAAGGTCCTGTGACCCACAGCTGAGACCTGATGCAGCTAAATAAATAAATAAAATAGAGCACAACCAAACCAGAAAACCTATAGAAATTTGTTTTCTCACAGTTCCGGAGGTCAGAAATTCATAAGCAGTATCATCAGGCCAAAGTCAAGGTAGCCTTTTGGGGAGAGTCCATTCTTGGCCTCAGCCAGCGTCTGGTGTTTCCAGATGTCCCTTGCTATGTGACTGCATCACTCCAACTTCTGCCTCCATCTTCATGTGGCCTCTTCCACTGTGTTTGTGAGGATCCCTTCCTCTTCTAAGGATGCTGGTCAGGAATTCCCTGGTGTTCTGGTGGTTAAGGCTCCATGTTTCCGATGCAGGGGACATGGGTTCAGGGAAGTTCTGCACGCTGTGAGGTGCTGTCAAAAAAGGAAACAAACAAAATGTAAGGACTCTGGTCAATAGATTTAGAGCTCATTCTAATCCAGTTTGATCTCATCTTAAGATTCTTTTTTTTTTTTTGCCAGTCAGTCCTTGGTTATCTATTTTAAATATAGCAGTGTGTACATGTCAATCCAAAACTCCCAGTCTATTCCCTATCTCCCTGCCCTCTTCTCCTCTGATAACCATAGTTTGTTCTTTAAGTGTGTGAGTCTGTTTTGTAAATAAGTTCATTTGCATAATTTTTTTGATCCTGCATATAAGTGATATCATATGATATTTGTCTTTCTCTTCACTTAGTATAGGCTTCCCTGGTGGCTCAGATGGCAGAGAATCCACCTGCAATGCAGGAGACCCAAGTCCAATCCCTGGGTTGGAAAGATCCCCTAGAGAAGTCAAGATTCTTAATTTAGTGATATCCACAGTGACTCTCTTTCCAAATAAGGTCACATCTACAGGTTCTGGCAGTAGGAATGTGGACATATCTTTAGGAGAGGGGCCACCCTCCAACCCACTACAGGATTGGGGATGGGGAAGATGAGGCAGTGACCTTGACAATCCACATGGCCTCCCAGAGCTGCTCTTTCCAAATAGGCAAAACAAGGATGGGCCTTGAGACTAAAGGTTGAATATGCACATGAGTGTCATGGCTATATCTCATGGAGAAACCCTCTCTACCCAGAAACAGGGAGAAAGTCCCCAAGTCTCTGCCCACTGATACACACTGCTCCCCGTCACCCACTCAGCCCTCGCCTACACTGGACCCGTGACTTTTCTCCTGGATCTGAGCCTGCACCATATTCTTTCAAGCTTTAAGATGCTTGCCCAGGAAGTCTCCCCCGACCTGGATGGCACTCCCCCTTGCAACTCTATCCTCCAAGTTTTGGCTTGAGAGTCTCTTCCTTCATGGATGGGGTGGTAGTGATGCCCAAAGTCCCTACAGTGGGTGCTGTCCACTCCATCACACCACCAACTCTCTCCTGAAGAGTTTCCATGGTTGTAATCACACAGTTTTACACAATTATTATCTTTTATTTATCTTTGGCTGTGCTGGGTCTTCACTGCTATGCTCGGGCTTTTCCTCGTTGCGCCACGCCAGGGCTACCCTCCAGTTGTGGTACGCAGGCTTCTCACTGTGGTGGCTTCTGTTGTCGCAGAGCCCGAGCTCTAGGGTGTGCCAACTTCAGTGGTTGCGGCTCCCAGGGTCTAGTATGTGTGTGTGTGTGTTAGTTGCTCAGTCATGTCTGACTCTGCAACACCATAGACTGTAGCCCGCCAGGCTCCTCTGGCCATGGGATTCTCCAGGCAAGAATACTGGAGTGGGTTGCCATTTCCTTCTCCAGGGGATCTTCCTGACCCAGGGATAGAACCAGCATCTCCTGCATTGGCAGGCGGATCCTTTACCACTGCACCATCTGGGAAGCCCTGTTGTCGTGTCCGACTCTTTGTGACCCCATGGACTGCAGCATGCCTGTCTTCCCTGTCCTTCACCATCTCCCGGAGTTTGCTCAAACTTATGTCCATTGAGTTGGGGAAACCCTTGTATATATGCATATATAGGAGTAATTTATTCCTGTGTTTGCTTTCTCCACTGTACCATGATCCCTTCATGGGGCTTTGTAAATGTTCAGAGAATTGACTATCAGGGCCTCTATTATTATAGTTCCCTAGGGCTGCTATAACAAAGGACCATAAACAGAGTGACTTAAAACAAGGGATTAATGCCCTCACCATTCTGAAGTCCAAAGTTGACCTCAAGGTGTCAGCTGGGCAGTGCTCCCTCTAAAGGTTCTAAGGGAGGATATCTTCCAGAATGCTGGCCTAGGGAGGCCAGGCCTGGGAGACCACTGTGACCCTTGCATCTAGCTCAGATATAGCGCACACATAGCAGGTGAACATGCCCAGGTTTCTGAAGGAATTCCTTTGTCCAGGTGAGGGGGATGTGCTGGGCATCACTCAATTAAACTGGTGTCCCAGTGATATTCTGGAATCTTCTCTGAGATAACGGAACGCTAGGCACAAGTGTGTGCATGTGCACACACACATACACACACACACAGACAAAATGAGCCCCCAGCTCCCAATTTCTCCACGGAATATTTTTTCCCCAGGGCAGAAAATGAACCATTATTAAAACAACACAGCAACCGACTGGGAAAACCCATTTTCAGCGATTTATATCACGTCACGTGGCTGCCGAGAGGAAATGGGAGAAGCGCGGGGTTTTAAGCACTGGGTGAAGAATCGCGTTCCATCAGAGGAGGAACAGATGGGTGTTTTTTCTCCCCTCTCTCCCCCTGCTCGGGCTCCAAGTCAGGAATCCATGTCAGCCCTGGGTTTGTTCTCAGGTGTGATGGGGGCAACTCTGGGAGGAGGCGGCCAGGCTGCTGGGCCCCAGGGGACCCACTCAGGATGCCCTGTCTCCCTGCCCACTGCCTGCCCTGCCACCTGGGCTGGTGGGCTGCCTTCCCTGATCACCTTCTGCTGTTTTACATTTTCTTATCACCACCTGAAATTTTCCTTTCCCTTTATTTCCTCCCCCATCCACTGCCCCTTTCTTCGAAGGCAGTGCCACATCCTGTCCCTTCATCCTCAGTGCGGAACACACAGCAGTTGATCAAATATCCACAGACGTGGGCTAACTCATTACCCCCGCGCATCATGTTCTGAGGTTATTATTTACGCATCTGCTCTCCTCGCCAAGCTGTAAGCACACTCAAAGGAGGGGGCTCTTTCATTTCTTTCTCTCATCTATGGAGCCACGGTCCTTCCACCCCCAAAGAAAGCCTGATCCACAGCCAGCCTCGGGGTGAAGAGACCCGAGGATGACTCAGTCATTTGGCTGTTTAAAAGCCACCCATGGCTTCTCTCCTTCAAAGCTGAAACCTGTTAGTGTGACTCCAGTGGCCCCTCCCAGTCTAGACCCCCAAAACACCTATTCAGTGTCACCCTAACATCCTGCCCCTGCGCACCTGCCCTGAGCCCCAGGACCTTTCAAGTCAAACAGCTGGCTGATCCATGGTCCCCATCTCACCCATGATGCTGGCGCAGCTGCCTCTCTGAGGCTCCCAGTTTCCACAGTTGGGTATGCTGCACGATCTGCTTTCACCTTCTGAACCAGGGGCTTGACACCCAGAGCCCAGTCCAGCCCACACCTGCGATTTGTTTTGTCCATGCAGGGTTTATAAAATGGTAATAAGTTACCAGCTCTTAAATACCTGGTGATTGTTGCATAAAAATCTGTATTCCTGGCTTTCCATCAAAAGACACAGCCTCTGTGAAACTCAGAGGCAGTGCTCAGCAAGGCCGGCCCCCACCCCCAGGAGACAGCACAGGTCTGCCAGTTCTCACATGGTGAGGAGTTTAAGGGAACTCCGGACCCAGAGTCGCTCGGCTGACTGCTGGGGAATCTTTCACTTTCCTTTCTTAGAACAGTTCTCCTGGCTTCTCCACCTAACTTAGTGTCTTGGGAGTCTGGGCTGTGTGGACCACACCAACGAACGGGCTCCTGGGTCCTCTGGCTCAGGTTGGATTCAGCCAGTGAGGGGAGGGGAAGTGAGGGAGATATTTGTTCCCCAGTTCAGCCCCTGTGGCTTCTGAGGGCCGCTCGCATCCCTGTTAGAGGTCACAGGTCTCCCTCATCCACACAGCCTGTAGTGTTTCCAGTTCATAGCAACTGCTCACTCCCCTGGCCCCTCAGACCTAGGGGTGCTAATAGCTCCCACTTGTCCTTGTCCAAGGTGAGGTTATTCCTTGTGGTTCCTGTGGTACATCTGTCCATGCCATGTAGTGTTGTCCCATCATTTAACTCTGCTCAAATTACCCAGTTTGAATATACCACCGGTTTCCAGCCCTATAGCCTCTGTGCCTCAAATAAGCCCTCTGGTAAATGGGGATAACACCTGACTCTGGAGTTGATGAGAAAATAAATGAGCTAATACTGTGTAAGGAAAGAACTTAGCGAGTGCTAATAAACGTTAGCAGTTACTACTATTCTGTGTCACAGTCCTCACCACTCCTGATTGCCCCTTGACTCTGAAGTGAAGGTCACATGTGCCATTGCTCATTCAGACGCCTTCTTGACTGCTCAGCATGTTTGTATTACCTGCTGTCCCCTGTATGTAGTGGCGTGTGTTATCACCAGCTGTGTGATGTCACCCCTGCTATAGAGTTCCTAGACAGTCCTCTGCCCCACAGGATGTCCATTCCTCCACACTGACCCCAGGAATTTGCTTGTGGTCCAGTGGTAAGGATTTAGCATGCTCACTGCCACAGCCCAGGTTCAATCCTTAGTCAGGGAAGTAAGATCCCGAAAGCCTCATGGCATGGCCCTGTATCTGTATCTGAATCTGTATCTGTATCTATCTATCTATCTATGCACGTGTGCTCAGTCAGTCATGTCCAACTCTTTGCGACTCCGTGGACTACAGCCCACCAGGCTCCTCTTATCCACGGTATTTTCTAGGTAAGAATACTGGTCTGAGTTGCCATTTCCCTCTCCAGGGGATCTTCCNAGTCATGTCCAACTCTTTGCGACTCCGTGGACTACAGCCCACCAGGCTCCTCTTATCCACGGTATTTTCTAGGTAAGAATACTGGTCTGAGTTGCCATTTCCCTCTCCAGGGGATCTTCCCAACCCAGGGATAGAACCAGCATCTCCTGCATTGGCAGGTGGATCCTTTACCACTGTGCCATCTGGGAAGCCCTGTTGTCGTGTCCGACTCTTTGTGACCCCATGGACTGCAGCATGCCAGTCTTCCCCATCCTTCACCATCTCCCAGAGTTTGCTCAAACTTATGTCCATTGAGTTGGGGAAACCCTTGTATATATGCATATATAGGAGTAATTTATTCCTGTGTTTGCTTTCTCCGCTGTACCATGATCCCTTCATGGGGCTTTGTAAATGTTCAGAGAATTGACTATAGTTCCCTAGGGCTGCTATAACAAAGGACCATAAACAGAGTGACTTAAAACAAG